GCAGCCGCCGCAGCAGCAGGGGGCATGGCCCTGGGGCTGCACCCGGCGGCGGCGGCGCAGAGTGGAGCGGGCCTCCCAGCGCAGGCGGCGCTCTATGGTCACCCGGTCTACGGCTACTCGGCGGCTGCTGCGGCGGCGCTGGCCGGCCAGCACCCGGCGCTCTCCTACTCCTACTCGCAGGTGCAGGGCGCGCACCCAGCTCACGCCGCCGACCCCATCAAGCTCAGCGCGGGTACCTTCCAGTTGGACCAGTGGTTGCGCGCGTCTACGGCGGGCATGATCTTGCCCAAGATGCCCGACTTTAACTGTGAGTACCTGCGCCTGCCGGCTCGCAACCCAGGCCGGCCTGAGAAGGAGGGAGAGGGGGAGCCGCCCCCGCCGCCTCTGGGCCTAGGGTGGCAGGAAAAATTGGGGAACAGGGGATTGCAATGATAATTGGTTCTCTTGCTCATCCTACACTCCATCTCCCCCCTGCACCTCCTCCCCATTTCTTTTCTGTCTTCTCGGAGCGAGCAGAGCAGTAGAAGGGCTGCGGAGTCGTCTCGGCTTTGCCTGGGGCCTGTGAGGACTGTGCGGGCTACACGATGTGAAATTCGAAGGAAAATTATTAAAATGGCCACGCACTGGTCTTGCCTTCTCTTCCACTTTTAACGGGAAGGGCAGATGAAGGTGTGAGACTAAAATATAATGATTAACCTTGCGGGCTGGAGAAGGAAGTGGCGGGAAAAGGCGAATCAAAGGACTTGCTGACTTAGGCAGGGTGTAAGGATTGGGGTTCACCAAAACCAAGAGAAAACCGACATGCATGGGGTCCCATTTTGAGGCTCTGAAGAGAACCCCGGCCTCTCCCGAGGGGAGAAGAGATCCAGAAGCAATGAATAAGAAACAGGCTCAGAAAAGCCCAAGACCTGCAAGCCAGCCATCCCCTGGCCCTTTCCAGGGAGCCTGCACCCCTTGGGAAAAGCGCCGGGGTTCGGGATGCGCTGTCTTTACAAGAGGCGAATGGCTTGGCTTGAACATAGCGATGCCGCTTTCCTGCGGGCCAGGAGATATACCTTCTGCTCCAAAAACCCCAAACGAGGGCTCTGAACCATAGGTGTAAGCGCATGAACCGGGGCACCCGACATCATAACAAACCCCTCTCAGAGGTGGAAGCGAGGAAGGCATCAGCCATTCCCCACCCGAGCGAGAGACACTGGGCTGTCTTCCTCGCCCAACTAGGCCTGGAAGCCTGGAGCGACTCGGTGTTTCCTAGCACGCGCCGGCGTCTTGGGGCCGGCGCTCTGGGAGACTTAGGCTCTCCAGCTCCGCTCTGCTCAGCTGCGCCTGGTGTCGGCTTACTTCGAGTCAGGCCAAAACGAGAGGATGGTGTATATGAATTTATTTATTTATTTCAGCTGCCGAACACCCAAACAAAAAGGTCCCTTTGTTTCCGTCTGAGTGGATTTGTTTAGACTGGGGAGATGCAGGCATGGGTATATGGGGGGTGGGGGAGCAAAAAAGAAAACAGAAATAAACACTTGCCAGAATTCAGATTTCTTTGCTAGGAGCCGTGATTGTGACTAAACAGAGAAAAGCTAGGACCCCAGAGAGCTGGAGAGATCACAGGGGAGTGATAAAATCCAACGTGTACACTGTTTACCCACGGGGCACGGTCAAGCTTTACCAGGTCAGCTCCAGTTGAGGATGCCATAGCCACTCCATCCTTTCTCAAGCAAGAATGACCCCCTCCTCACGCAAAGAATAGGGGAAGATCGCAAATAACCATCACCTCTCAGTTTGTAGGTTCAGACGTTTTTGATCCTGCGAATCCCGGGTCAGCCCAACGCAAGCCGCACTTCCGGACCTGGCGCAGGAGTCCAGCAAAGTTGGACAGCAGCCCCCCCGCCCCAAACTCCCATAGATTGTCTATTTTGACCTGCATTTACCAGAACTTGATGCTTAGTCTCTCCCCAAGGGGGCCTGTACGTTCCAAGGCCCTCCCTGGGCACCAGGTTACCCAAGCCACCCCGCCCCTCGTGGTTCCTCAGACCTCTCCCTCCATACAGCAGAAGCAGGACTCTTGGGTCCTGTGTGGAGCCCAAAATCGCCTTAAGTCTACTACATCTGGCATGTAGATCCCTTTGCCAACACGTCTCGCCCATCTCTGATTTGTAATCTTGACTTAGAAGAGGCCGAATTAAAACGCACTCTGCTTTTACATTCGGAGAGGGATGTGAATACCGCAACCGTAAAGCTTCAAAAATGCAGGCAACAATGGTGGAATTCGTTCAGAGAATCCCTCTGTCTCCAATCGCCAGAGAACCTGTTTGGTTCCCTTTAATTAGATGTCTCTGCCTGTCGGATGGCATTTCCCAAATGACCGTTTCGGAGCCTGTGTTTTAATTAAAGTTCTAATGTATTGTCAAGTTGGGAATTCTGAGCCTTGTTTAACTAAAGCGGGGGGCGTGGGCCTTCCAATAAAGCAAATTGCTGGTCCCTGGGGAGCCTGAGCTCATCCCAGCCTGGTCCAGGCCTCTTTCCTTTCCTTTCTTTTCTTTCTCACTTTTATTGTCTAACACTTGTCAGGCTCCTGGGAAATCAAGGGAAGTCTCGTTTTGAGGTCATAAAATTCTCTGTGATGTAACCGTGCGAAATTATGTAAATAAAGCCGGCAAGGCCTCGGCTGGTGGCAAGGCAAGCCGGATCCACGCCTACGCCTAGGCCTTTAATTTGCGTAATGCGAATTGTCCTGAAAAGGCTCCGCGGCCGTTTTGCCCCTACTTCGTTCCGGGGTGAGGAGAAGGGGTGGGAGGGAAGATTGTTAAGAAAAAAATGTTTAAATGTGGGAGGGTCTATGAGTCCCTGATCCTGATGAGTATACATATTTAGGGATGGACTTGGATTTTTTCTTATTCTTCCTCCCCCCCCCCCCCGCATTTAAGGAGATGGGGCTGGGGATGGGAACGCTGCACCCTGGGTAGGAAGAAATAGGGACAGCGGCTGCCTGAGTTGGGGAAGGCGCTTTGAGGAGAGAGGAGGACGGTTGATCCCTCCTGGTCACTTCTGATCACTGGCTACTCTGCCTTTCAGTCAACCTTATTCCTACAAATCCCCTCCCCAGATGGAGAGGGTTCGCCTGAGTGAGAGACCTGCTTTACTCCGGACACGAATGCTTTGTCGGAAAAAGGATTTGCTCCCATTAATACCAAACCATTTGGGGGTTTCTACTTGGGGGTCTTGGTCCTGAACTACAAGGACTTGTTTGGCTTGGCTGCCCCTTTTCCTTAGGGACAAGGTGCTGAAGCTGAGGGGAGATTGTGGAAGCTCCCTATGGGGCTCAGCAGGAAGCAGCCAGCCAGTGGGCTTTTTTTGGGGGGGGAGGCGGTGAAGTAGGGTAGGAGTGGGAGGCAAAAGGCCATGGGAGCAGGGGTGCGAGCCTCATGCTGTTCCATCATGCTGTTCTTTCCCGGCCCCCAGCCCAGGCGCAGTCGAACCTGCTCGGGAAGTGCCGCCGGCCCCGCACGGCCTTCACGAGCCAGCAGCTGCTGGAATTGGAGCACCAGTTCAAACTCAACAAGTACCTGTCGCGGCCTAAGCGCTTCGAGGTGGCCACTTCGCTTATGCTCACCGAAACCCAGGTGCGCTACCTTCCCCTCCCTGGCTACAATCCCACACTCGTTCGCGCCTCTCCTCCCGCCTTCCCCCTCAAGCGGAACACTCTCATCGTTGGCACTCTGGACTCTTGGGGCCCCCTGAGTGTCTAGAGATGTGGTGCGGAATAATACTCAGCGCTAGTTCAGATACCCGACGTATGATTACCGTCGTTCCGGGTGGTGTCTATGGATCTCCATTTTAACATATCCTAGGAGCTCTGGTGGTGTAGTGCCTAAGGCATTTGACTGCTAACCAGAAGGCTGGCGTTTCAAACTCACCAGCCACTCCTCGGAAGGAAGGTTGGGCAATTCGAGAAATTCTGCCCCAAAAGAGAGGGAGGGGATCTTGTATTTATACAAATGCACCCTAGCTGCCCTGCCCCTTCGCTTCGCAGACCAAGAGGCTGTTAGAAAAAGAAGCAGGTTCTGGTCGTTGAGGAAGTGGTCAGAGCTTTCCTTTGAACCTCCCAGCCTGACTCCTTGGGATTTGCTGATAAGGAGTGGTTGTGGGAGTCACCTCTCTTGGAAATTAGGAGCCTCCTCTCCCTCTTCTAGCTCTTAGGTGGGGGTAGGGGAAGAGTGTGAGGTGGGTAGCACCCAGCAGGAACTGCTTCATGCAACCAGGGAGCGATTCAGGAAAGACAAAACAAACAAAAAACCCCACTGGGTTCAGGGATGGCCGATTTCTTACGCCGAGATTGCCTGCTTTTACCCCGCAGGTGAAAATCTGGTTCCAGAACCGACGGATGAAATGGAAACGGAGCAAAAAGGCCAAAGAGCAGGCTGCGCAAGAGGCAGAGAAGCAGAAGGGCGGCGGCACAGGAAAGGGAGGCGGCGGCGGCGCGGAAGAGAAGGAGGATGAGGAGCTGCTGGGGCCCCCCGCCTCTGGGGAGAAGGGCAGCGGACGCCGCCTTCGGGACTTGAGGGACAGTGACCCCGAAGAGGATGAGGACGAGGACGACGAGGACCATTTCCCCTATAGCAACGGCACCAACACCAACGCCCCCTCCTCCGACTGCTCTTCGGAGGACGACTTGCCACAAACACGGCCTGGTGGCCCGGGACATCAGCCCCCGCCTCAATAGGAACCCCTGCACTGGCAGGGACGGAGGGAGGGGGGCTCCCCGCGGCCCCTACCCCTCAGGTCCGGGCAGGTGGGAGAGCTCTGAGCGCACCCCGTCTGGCGCCCACCGCGACCTGAGCGGACAAGGAGCCCATTGACGAGTCGGTTTCTCTTGGTTGCCCCCTCCGGCTTTGGACCCACGGGGTCCCGCCTTCCCTCTGGGTCCAACCCCTCCAGGGCCTGCGCGCCTGGTCTCCTGGACCTCCGCCTCCGATCATCGGACTGGGGCCTACGGTCTTGACCGGCCTAGCGGCCTTCCTTTTTTGGCCATAGCACCTCAACAGTTCTTCAAGGGACAGATACAGAGAGCCCCAGGGGGTTCAAACTTGAACTCCTTTTCTTTTTAATTTAATTTGTTTAGTGTCGGGGGTGGGGAGGTGTTTGTGAGAAGAACCGACGGATTTACCAGAAGAAGCCTCCCATCCTCTCCCCATCAGAGGACAAAAACCTACAGTGTTAACCTTTGAAACTTGAAACATTCTCTGGAAATGCGATTCTTATGCTGAGTATTGGGGTGGGGGAGGTTTTGTGCTTATGTATCTTAAGGGAAAAACACTTTATGTCATGAGCGTTCAAACTGCTGGAAATCTCAAAACTGTACTGTCTTTATTTTTGTATATTGTATTTATATATAAAAAGAAACATCTACATATGCATGCTAAATTATTATTTAGCTTCTCCCATCGCCCATGATGGAATATAAAATAAATCTTTTTTTTTTTAAACTGGATGAGAGTGCAAATCTTTTGAGGGCATTTTATAAAAACAGGCTTTAGTATTTTCTGTTTTGTTGAAATGATGGGGGAGGGGTTGTCTACTCTGTCATTTTCAACACAGGGAGTGGTGTGGATTTCAGAATTGGAAGTAGGTGTCGAGCTACCATCCCTCAAGGTTCTGATGTGGGTGTTGGGTGAGCCTTGATTAGTGAGGGCTGGCAGCTGCAGGTGTGAATTGTTGGTAAAAATACCTGAGCACCAGGTGTCAAAGTGTGTCCCAGGTACCTAACTTGTATCTGCCCTTAAAAAAAAAAAAAAAAAAATCACTGCCATGGAGTCGATTCTGACTCATAGTGACCCCCATTGGGTTTCCCAGGTGGTAAATCTTTACCGAAGTTTATTGCCCCATCTTCCTTCCAGCAAGCTGAACCACCAACCTTCTGGTTAGCAGTCAAATGCCTTAGGCACTGCACTACTAGAGCTCCTGGTATCTGCCCTTAGGGCACAAGAATCTCAAGGGAGTAACTTTGGACTCTGGTGTGTGTTTATTTCCTTGGAAATCTTCATGCTTCATTGATGCTCCAGAAGTAGACACATATTATTTGAATGTTTCAGAAAACAAACTCCAAATGACTAGACTTTAGTGACACTTTGGGTCTGTGCAGCCCTAAGTGCTGTGTAAGTACGTTCCTGAATACACTGAATGGTGCCTTGCTGCTTTACTCCATCGACTCCAGCCCTCTCTCCCTTCAGAACCTTCTTTGCATTGGCCATGTACAGTTTTCTTGAATCAGTGCACATGTCCTCCTCGACATCAGGTGGCTGGTGGCAGGAACGCTTCACACCCGGGCTGCAATGAGTTTGGATTAATAACCCTCTGCATTGTTTTCCATCAATCACTGCTGTGCTAGGCCTGCTGGCCATGTGCTATGCACATGCTGGACTCAAACCTGCTGCCCAGCCTGGACTGCAGTTGCTTGGGCAACAGCCAGCTGGGCCTCTGCAGCTCCCAGGACCCAGGCAGCTGCACCAAACATTGGACTTGCCCTACAGACACCCAGCCCAGCCAGGCGTGTCTTTCCGCTCTCACTGCTCATTACAGATCCCATGACCTCGCCTGGGCTGGGCTAGATGAGACCCAAAATCTCGCCAGGCTTGTTGTTTTTTCTTCCTCTCACTCACCTTTCTTCCTTCTTCCCTCCCTCCCTTTCTCCCTTCTTTTCCTTCCTTCTTTCTTCTTTTTCCCCACTCCTTTTCTTTTACAAGCGTCTCAATGTCAGGTAAGCAGCCCCTTCTCCGCAGCTCGCCTCTCTGCCACCTCCTCCTAGGTCCAGCTGATAAATGAATTCTGAAGGGCCTGGCGTTTCATTTGGTTGATTACAGCGGGGATGAGTGCAGCCACTCCTCTACCTAAAGGGGCCCCGGTGAGATTAATATCCTCTCTGGCAGCTCATTATCACCCCGGGCTCCTTCCATAAAAACCAGTCTCAGCCAAGGCCAGGGCGGGGTGCGGCGCACCCGCTGGGGGTGATATGAGAAGCTGAGAAGAAGCGTGTAGGGTGGAGGCGGGAGGGCGCCTCGGGGTCCAAAGGTGCCTTTGGGGAACAAGGACTGGTTTTTCAACTGGTAGAGAAGGGAGAAGTCCCAGGGAAAGCGGTTTGGAAAAACAAGTGAGAGATTCCTTTTGGGGGTTTAAAAATACCTGCAATCCGCGTATATCACTTTTTAATTTCTAACACATTGGTTTGAAGTTAAGGCTGAAGCAATCTCTTCCGCGGCTGGTTCCACATCTGGGGGCTATTTCCCCCGTGAGCTGGGCGGCCCAGCCTGGGGTTTATCTAAAAGCCACCTCCTCCCCAACAACCAGAGTGGGCAACCAGAGAAGAGAAAGGGTCTGGGCCTGGAAGGGAGTGAGTGTAATATCCGGCCTGGGTTCTTAGGGGTATGGGGAGCTCGGGGTGCCTTTGCCCTCAGCAAAGGTTCTTTCCCTCCAAATCAAGGGACATACACCCTATTTAGCGTTTCAAGACTCGGTATCTGGCCGGCTAAGTCTGGAACAAAGGGTGGGATGCGCTTTAAAATAAATAAATAAACATTATTAGGAGACAGCCCTCCACCACACCCTAAATCCTCAAGTAAAGCTAGGCTGGCCTGGGTTTGGCGCAGGAAAAGCATTGGTTTCTCTGGCGGGCTCCGGGTGAAGGCTGGACCTGCGAGCAGCCCCAAGCATCTCTAGCCAGCTGCTTAATCGCAGCGGAATTTATCTTGCTAATAAATTTAATGATCAATTCGTTCTTGTCACAGTAGCTCTTCCCCCAAATCAATTATAGCAAATTTAAATATAATCACTGGCTCATCCTCACCCACTCCGGGCACGGGGAACAATTCATTCCAGCTAATGAATGGTTGCGAGGCCCTGCTCTGCTCCGGCTCTCAGTTTGCACCCCCCACACTGGGGGTGCTGCGTTTCGGAGTGTTGCCTTGGCTCAGCCTCCAGGTGAGGAAACAGCATCCAGGCCCAAGCCTCGGAACTGCACCTAAACCGCACGCAGGGGAAGAAAAGGCTTTTCAACAAAAGTATCTAATTTCCAGGACCCTGGAACCAGGTCTAAGCAGTCAGAGCCTAGAGGGAGGTTAAAGCAATTCCCCCCTCCCCCCAGACATACATTCAGGCTTCTTACTACAGAAATTAACATTGCTCTCCCGCTATGCACAGAGAGTAATCAAGGGCTTATTTCACCTCCTTAAAGAGGAACAAAGGTGCAAGGTGTAGACGCTGACAGGCCCAAAGCTGACCCACAGTACCCTGGGTTGCAAGGTGGTCTCTCCTTCCCTGCGGAGAGCCCATCTTCTCCGCTCGCGTTTCCTCTGCTTTACCTAGTGATTTTTCTCCGCCCTTCTCAGAAAGTGTTATCTTCATCCCGGCAAGTGTTTTCAGCGTGTGCAGGGCGGGGTTTTGCGTGCGCAATGTGTGTATCAAATTCTTTTTGTAACAAGAGAAAACCAAACGGGTCTCTTTTCCAGCAGTCGCAGAGACCAGGCCGCAGGGTTAGAGACAGGCTCCTGAGGCTGCTGATTATTGACAGGGAAGTGCATACAGCCGTGGTGGCTCCAGTGGCTGCGGGTCCCAAAGGGAATCTGCGATATGTGAAAATGACTAGAACGCAAAGGAAATTGACCTGTTCTTTCGGCCACTTTGCCTTCCCCTACTTGGTCTTCAGCTTCGAAAGATCAGCTCAAAAGTCAGCCTCTCTTCTTAGCAGCCTTGCTGTAGGGAATCCAAATAACAAAGACATAGGAAAAAGCAAAACTCCCCCGAAGCCCTACCGCCCCGAGTCTACACGGTCGACATCTGCTGGGGCACTGTTGCGCTAATGACGCTGCTGTGGTTCTGTGTACTGAGGTTGCACCAAGAGTTGCCCAGGCTGCAAACAAGCTCGGCTCTTGCTCTAGAGGTTCCTCCTAGCACCTCCCAGGTTATGGCGTAAATTAGGCCTCCCGGCCTTCCCTGCCCCTCGGGTACGGAGGGTAGTTCCGAGTTCCTGACCTCCCGCCTGAGTCCGCTCGCGACGCCCGGGCCCAGACTGGGCCGGGGCGAGGAACCACGTTCCCAGGAGTGGGAAGTCCTTTTCCAGACCGCGGCGCCCAGGTGCAGCAGAGGATCCGACAGGCCAGGACTACTGGCCAGTGCGTCGCATGCCGAGCGAAGGTGACATGGCTGGAGCTAAAGATGTGGGCGACCAGGAAAGGGGGGCAAACTCCTCACGGGACGTCGGCGCTCTTCATCCGCCGTGTATCAAAGTCCTGCGGGTGTATTGTGTCTCTCAATAAAACTAATCCCATGAAAGGTGTGACCTCTCGCAAGAATACTGCAGTGTTCCAGATTACAAGGGCAAATATGTTTTTCAGATTTCGTTTTTATGGTCAGATTAAAGTTTATTTTCCATAATAGGGCACCTAATAAAACTCATAAAGCTCTGTCAGGCCTCCAGCTGGTGGCCTCATTTAACACTTTCACTTCATAAATCATTTTACAACTTGCCAGGTGTTTCCAAAACGGGAAGCAAACAAGAAAAACCTAAGTCGAATAGGAACACCCCTAGAGTTCGCTCCCTTTGTAAGCACCCAAACAAAACGGTGTGATTGTGTTTCCAGGGCTTGGGGGCCCAAGGGAGGAGGTTGGTCCGGAGTCCAAAAATGCCCGAGGCCGCCTGGGTCAACTTCCCTCGCCCGCTTGCTCTGCCCG